CCTTTAACCCAACTGAAATATTGAAGTGCTGATAAGAGCAGTTTATGCTAGACAGTCCACAAATATCCATGAATTGAAATGGTTGTAAAAAGGGGTGGGCCAAAATTCTTCCAAGGCAATTTGATGTATTGATCAACTAGCGTTGGAAGCATTTGATTGAAGCAATTTCTGTTAAAGAAGGTTCCACTATTACTATATTACTAAAGTATCACATACTTTTTCCAGCAAGGAAAGTAAATGTTGGCTCAGACTGTTGAGTAAAGAGGTGACAGAATGCAGAGTTTTAACCAGATTCTCTTTATCTATTAATAGGTTTTCAGTGAAGCTCAGATCCCGTTGTAAGTCTGCAGGGTTACAAATAGTTCTAAAGATCACATAAACTCTCCCTTACAATATAGTAGATACAATATCATAGTCTGATGATGTTCTCATTTGGTAGGTATTCTTAAAATTCTATTGCTTTGGTTGTAATTAAAAAGCTTAGAATTTTGTATAAGATGAACTAATTTTTTAGCTAAAATTTCAGCCTGTTATCACTTACAGGGATATTGTTGTTTTTTTTTTTTTAAAAAAAAGATAAATTCTAAACCCAGCCCAATGCAGACGGGACAATTTATTGCACTTTTGATATTTGCATTAATACATTGAAATATTACCCTTCCTCTGTGTGTGAATTGTTGCCTTGGCTAGACTTGCCAGTTGAACACTTAATATGGATGGGCAGGTCTGTCGTGTGAATACCAAATGTATTGAACCAATCCAGTTGCTCTTATCATAGGTAAATTTCCTGTCTTTTTAGTATTCTGACTGAGAGTAACTTAAAGCAGTTTTTTTTAATAAAGCACCTTTTAAAGTTCGATTTTTTAAATCTCAATACAGACTAAATTCTTTTGTAATTGCCTGTACCTCCATATTAAGGTCATCCACTCTGCTCTGAATTTATAAGTTGGGTTGTATCTTATAAGGCACCACATCATTTTGTAAGAACAGGATTTGTGTACTGTAAGAAAAATATATGAAAGTTCCTGCTGTATCATGCTCTGCTTCATATCATGGCCATACACATGAATCCAGAAATGTGGATAGGAAAATAATAGATTTAAAATCTTAGGACTTTGCCAAATCTCACAAGATTGATTTTGCACATTTTGGGTGAGAATATCAAAATCTTGTAAAATGTCAAAATGCCATTACCAAATATTGAGAGATATGACAATTTTCTAAAATTGTAATACTTTATTTATTTATATTGGATACCTGCACCGTAGAGCAGCTAGAGTACCTTTGTGGAGGATAATCATCTCTGGCCCACAAATTGAGAACTGGTAACCTGATCTCCTTTTAAGTCTATATTGGGATTCCATCTGCTGGCAGGGAGTTCCATAGTTTATATATGTATTGGGCGAAATATTTCACATGACCCCAACTTCCAATATTGTAAATAAAAAGAAGAATTGGATCTGTATTTTCTGCATCATGCATGATGTTATACAACTTTATTATGCCTTTCCTTATTTACGTTAATCCAAGTTAAAAAACCCTCAAGTAGTCATTCCTCATAAGGAACCTATTTCAGCCCCCTTATAATTATGGTTGCCCATTTATATACTTATTATTTTGCACCTTTTCAAGGTATATTCCCAAGTGTGCATAGTATTCCAATCTCAATTTTAGACAGATAGATAAATGACATTCCTTTTTCTTTTTTCTTTTGCACGTTTTCAGTTCCTTTCTTAAATCTGGACACGAGAAATGTCATTTTTAACAAGAAATGCTCTTTGAGTTTTGTTGAGTTGTGCACCCAGACTCCATCATTCTTTTCTGATCACTCAAAGCAACCTCAACTCCCATTCATGGAGGTTATGTTTGGATTTTTTAAATATCCATCTGTATTACTTTTTGCTTGCTCATATTGATTTGCATTTGCCATTTTGAGGCCTATTTACTCAGTTTGGTGAGAGGTCCTTTTGGAGCTCTTCACAATATCTTTGTTATGAAAATGCAGATCTTTATGTCATTAGCAGATTGGATCACTTTACTCCTTAACTTCAGTTCAATTATAAACTAATTAAAAGCAATGATCCTACCACCAGTCCACTTTGCACTGTTGTCTACTTGTCCTTTTTTATCTTATTCTTAAGCCAATTTCCAACCCCTAAGAACATAAGCCTTTTTTAATCGCCTGGCTTCCAAGTTTGCTCAAGAACCTCCAATAAGGGACATTATCAAAAGTGCACACAGTGTCTGATGGATTTCCTCCTCTACATTTGTGTTAATATTGTCAAAACAAGTCTAGAAAATTAGTTTAGGGAGAGCAATATGTGATCCTCTAGATCAGGGGTGTCAAACTCGTGTCATCGTGGTGGCATCACGTGACGTACCTGTGACTTTTTTCCTTTTTGCTAAACCGGGCGTGGGCATGGCCAACACGTGATGCATCCAGCCCGCAGGCCACCAGTTTGACACCCCTGCTCTAGATGCTGCTGCTATATTACAACTTCTGTTTGTCTTACAATAGCCAGTGGAGAAAGATGCTGAAAACTCCAATTTAACATCATCTGGAGAGCTACATGTTGTTCACTGATGTATTCAGTTATTGTTGTGAAAGTTGGTTTAGCTCTATCAAAGGAGGAGATTGAGATCCTGGATTGGGTGCTATCAATCAACCCAGGGGATCCTGTCTGTCTGGCATGTAAGCTGACTAAGCTGTTTCCTTGGCAAGAGTATCTTGCTTTCTCCACTGAGACCTATTTTCAGGAGTGTTTTCACTGAAAAAAAAACGTGCAAATTTGTTCAAAACAAAACCTCAGGCTCCACAATCTAAGCTTTTAAAATCTCTCTCTTCCAGGTCAAGAGTAATCTGAATCCCAATGCAAAGGAGTTTGTTCCTGGGGTGAAGTACTAAATATATGAGTAGACTGGGCCCTCTTTTGGTGGATGTAGCACAATTTCCACACTGTGAAGCCAGTATTAGAAGATTTAATTGTTAAAGCGCTCTCTCTTCTTGTCACTGTGTTACACTTACGCATTGCCAAAGTTTTGTTAGTCTTGCATGCTTAATAAAAGTGCTGAGACTGTTATTAAGTCAACTGCTGTCAGAGGTTAATGAATTGGAAAAGTCTAATTGGATCCAGGCTTTTTGTGAGGGAGACAATAAGGAAGGAAGCACCAGTCATGTTGAGAAAAGTACCAAGTTTCTGAGAAACTCTTGCAATTCTGTTTTTAGAAGGATTCAGACTTTGATAAAGAGTGGTCTGTTTTACTTAAAAACTTATGGCGGTGTTGATATGCACCCAATAATGCCTTAATGTGAAAATAAAAGCAAGGTTTTATCTGATTATGCAGATTAGCTGAATTTCAGTACTGCTATTAATTCCTCCCATTATCAAGCAAAACTTTACTCCACACTGTTCTTTTTTGAGGAAAGTGTGAATTGTAAAAATACCTGAATCACTTTTACAGGCCTGTATAGAATCCTTTCTCTTGGCTACAAATCTGGTTGGGGGGGGAGGGGGGGGAAAGAAAATTTGGCAATTGAGATTATATTTGCAGCAAGTTTATCATGTTGGAATGTTTGTCCCACTTCTGAGTTTAACGTGATGTGAAGTTGCACATCACAGAATCTTCCAGGAATCCAGAAACATGGCACTGCCTCTGTAAAATTTTACAACCTTAAAAATTGGATTCAATTGTAAATTTTAGCATTAGTGATTTGAGTGGTGCTTTTCCCTTGCTTTGTTTAATCATCACTACACAATAGTCTACAGCACAGCTTTTTTTAAAAAAACACCTAGTACAGTTTTGGCTTCTTAAACTTCATATTTGGGTAGCTTACGCTGCCTTATGTGTTCAGTGTGAATAGTGTTTAAGTTGAAAATATTGTAAAAAAATTATATTTTTTCAAAAATATTTAAAAAAAAAATAAATAACAGTAGAAATGACAAAATGAGTGTTCATCTTATTTGTGGCTTGTGAGAACGACTTTGTTGTCCTGTTCACACATTACATTTACAACAACCAATGCAAACCCAGAATCTGAGATAAAAGCTGGAAATAATGAAAAATTCTCAGAAATAGCCCAAATGACATTCTTGTCAGAGAAAGAGAGACCTCTGTAAAAGAAGCAAATTCAAGTAGGTGCAAATGTGTATTCATTTTGTCCCTTTATTTAATAGCCTGGTTTGTCTTTATACAATACTAAATGCCATAAATATGAAAGCTTTTTAAATGCAATTGCGACCCTTTAGGATTGAAAGTGGCTATATAGTCTTGCAAGCTGCCAATGAAACGATAAGATTGGTGTTGCAGGCATTCAAGACTGACTACATGTAGAACATCAGGAATGTTTGCAGCAAAAAAAAGATGCCAGCATTTCAAGTGGACACCCATGAAAGCCAATTATCTGATACATAAAAACCTGACCAAAGCTTATAGTAGTAGTTCTGGTGTATAATTCCTCAACACTGCTGCTCCTTTTCTACTTGTGGTAGCTTGGGTTTATAGTACCCTTGCTTAATGATTGTTAGGAATCGAAAGAATATTTCAAAAACAGGAAAGCTACTTCGGGTAGTCCAGGTCCAAAATGGTGTAGTTTGGAATACGTTTGTTCATGAAACAGAACAGGGCTGGTTTGCTGCAGATGTACACCAAAAAAAGAGCTCTGGGCAAAAGTGGTTTTGGGAAAAATGAACTGAAAAACCCAGGACATAAGTGGTGGTTTAATAGTGAATTTTAAAAACAGTTATAATCAACAGATGAAGATACAGGAAATCCTCAACATACAACTACAGTTGAGTCCAAAATTTATGTTGCTAAGTGAGAAATTTGTTAAGTGAGTTTTGCTCCATTCTACGACTTTCCTTGCCACATTTCTTAAGTGAATCACCGCAGTTGTTAAATTAATAATCTGATTGTTAAGTGGATCTGGTTTCTCTGTTGACTTTGCTTGTCAGAAGTTTGCAAAAGGGGATCACATGACCCGGGAATACTGCAACTGTCGTAAATACAAGTCTGTTGTCAAGCATCTGAGTGTAAATCACATGGCCGTAGGGTTGCTGCAACGGTCATAGGTGTGAAAAATGGTCATAAGCCACGTTTTGCAGTGCCATTGTAACTTCGAATGGCCACTAAGTGAACTGTTGTAAGTCGAGGACTACCTGTATACCTGTATTTTAATAATCTGCGTCACTGCCCTTTAATGTGCTGCACTTCATATGTTCTGAATTATAATTCCCTTCCTGCACTACAGCACGTTCCCAGTAGTCATGCAGTCCGCAGGGAACTGCAGTCCAAACGGTGGGGGGGACATCAGCTTAAAGAGGACTGACCTTAAAATTTTCACATTGAGAAGTCATACAGCTGTATTTTGTTTAGTATGGACTTGACAAGTATACAAGAAAATACCTGAATAGGTATGGATTGGGGTTTGGGCCTCTTCACATGTCATTGAATCTCAACCCAAGCTACCTTCCCACCATGTTAATGGAGAAAGATGCTAAAAATTAAATTTGACAACAGGTTAAGCTTCCCATTTCTCTCTCTCTCTTTTTTTAATTTCCTAAACTACCACTTTAGATTTCTTAAAATTTCCTCTTAGTTTTCATCCTTTACTGGTTGTCTTTATGAGACAAATACGTTAATGATTGTAAAAGGATGAATGGATCTTGGGTGTTGGAACCATTTCATGTGCATATATAAAAACAGAATTTGATTCCTGGAACTTGTGAAGAAAATCTTGATAAGAGTGTTCTTCAGATTATCTACCACCTATTAATATTTTAACAAAAAAATTCTGACTTATCAAAGCAAAACAAATTACTGTTAAAACCTCATTTTTTGATTTTGAATGTTACGGTCAATATTTTAGTTCAGATTTTTCCTAAGCAAGTAGGAAAAAAGGTGTTTATGGCACAGTCCCAACAATAAATTTGCTTCATTATACAATGAACAGAAATTGACAGAAACAGCCAACGACATAAATATATATTATTATATTTCACAGACATTACACTTTTATGGACATAGTTGTCCCCACAGTCCCCCCCCCCCCCGCAAAAAAAAAAACTGGCCAGTTTTTTAAAAAAGGTTTTACTTGCATGTAAGTATGAATGAATGTCACAGAATTAGGACTGACTGCAGTAATTTGACCTTGGATCACACATGATCAGCTCCATCAGATCTGGACTGTTAAGATCTGGATGGGGACAAAGAAAATTTTGTGTATCTTTGTCATCTACCGTCTGCTGTTTTTTGTGGCCCACATCTGGCAGTCTTCAAATAAATCTTCCAATATCAAGAAAGTACCTGCTTTCCTTCTAAACACACACTGGATATTTACAAATCAAAGTGAACAAACTTATTGCCTCTGAATTAGTATGTTTCGACAGTGCTTAAGTGAACTCTTAAATCAGGTTTTTCTAACAGAATATGATATATAAGAATAATAGTTCTTGAATAGCCACACAAATATCCCCTGATGTGTTTCAGTTATTGATCTTGACTGATCTGAGACACTTTCACTGAAATAGTTTAAATACAGCTAAACTTGTCTGCAGTCCCTGTTGTTCACTTTTCATTATACTATGAAGAACCCCTTCAAATCTTGGTACACATCCCTAATTCATCCACTGTATTGTCAATTTGTTCTGATAGGGCAGGATCTTCCTTTGTTCTTGACTTAAAACCTTTGAAAACAGGACACACTGGTACATACTTTAACCAGTGAGTCCTTTTAATCAGACCCATCCCAAAGGGAAAATCGTAACTCTTCAGTTTTGCAGATTCGTCACTGTTGGCATGTGCTCCAGCCTTCCACTGTACTAAGCCACGTTCCTCTTGAGTCCCTAGAAAAGAAAGTATGTATTTGAAATCAGGCAGTTTTGGAAGAAAGGTTTCAGTGATCTAATTCACAAAAGAAAGCTGTATTAATAACATACCATGAAGTAGAGAGTCATGACATGAGATTAAAGAAATGTAAAAGTTGAAATAATAAACTTTCTGGGAGGAGCATGGTAGATTTGCCTGTGATGAGATCAACAGTTAAAAGGAACAGAAGTGTCTGCTTTTTGCGTCTCATCCCATCAATTGGATACCAGTAGAACACACATAATTTGTATTCAATAGGGTTTCATTCCCTAATGAAGAACTATGTGACAGATGGGAAGTCCCTACCCTAAATTCCAGGGAGATAGTTATGATACCACAAAAAAACAACTTCCAGCCCCTTAACGTTTAGCATATTGTGGCATGAGTTTTTGGTAGACTAAGAAGCAATTGGTTCTTGAAAATCCCTGCCATAATAAATTTTCTAGCCTTTTATGATGCTGTGAGGTAGTTACAAAATTAAAAGGCCTATGTTATGAGACAGGGCTGCAAGAATCAAATTTTAAAATCATATTCACTACATCTGTCAGGCTACAGTATTAGAAGATTAAAACGCTGGGAGCCATCTACCTCTTAATAAATCTGGAAAAGCAGTAACAAAAAAGAAATGGCTATAAATACAATACTTGTACATCTAATTCTGTATTTTCTGCCACGGCTCTGTATGAGGAACATACTATCTAGTGTAGCAGCACTAATGCAAGTAACCAGAAAGTACCAAATGATCAAGTATAGCACACAGTGATCAACATATATGTCCCAAAGGTGCTTTTTCAAGATGCAACTGGACTTTCTGGTTTTTCTTTGAAGATGTTTAGCTTTTCATCCATTACTGAATTCCCTACCATTCAGTCAGAGCTGAAGAAACTTTTTGGACGGGAAGCGAAACGTCTTCAAAGAAAAAACAGAAAGTCCAGTTGCCTCTTGAAAAAGTATCTTTGGGACAACCATGACCTGGATGATTGAGAATCTCTATAGATCAAATATATATATATATATTACTTTGGATAAATTTTGGGGTTCCTTAAATCAATCCTTTTGAAATACAGGCTAAACACTTCAAAATAATACAGTGAATCAGGTGTACCTGGAACAGTGTTGTCCAATATAAATGCAATGCTGCCCCCAACAAACATTTCTGTGGTTAAAAGTACTCTTAATATCTGGTCCACTTCAGCAATGCCTACAAACCGTAATAATTTATAGTTCAAAATGTTATCAAAATATGCTTAATATACTTCTGCATTTCTCAAATTTATCTTTGTTATATCCTTCACTCTATTCCCTTTTTAGTAGGAAACACTATATACTGTAAAGCACACAAAAGAAAAGGTAAGCAATGCAAGTTATAAATGACAGGAAAAGAAAGGGAAATATAGCTAAATCTGGCTTAGCCAAACACCCTTCCCTACATCTCTTCAATCCTTCCTTGTAAATGATCCATGCTTACACCATGGCCGTACGGCATATCACTTCATACTCTGGCTTTTGCTTTTTAAACCTCACATCTTTCTGAGGATTCCATCAATTTCATCCAACTCTGACTGTCTGGTTCTTCCCCTTCTTGACTCAGTTTGATTTGATCCTCGTTCATTCGTTCACTTCATATAATCAAACCACCACATAATTCTACTATAATTGTCATTCAAGGTGATTCAGCACCCATTCTCTCCTTTTACTACACGGGTATCTGAAGCACCCCATTTCATCTGCACCTAGATTTTATGTTCCACCCAACCTACCCAACTTTGACTTCCATATAATAAAGTAAGCAAAGCTGTTGTATGTAGTCATTTTTACTTGTGACATTTATTTTTCTCAACAATATATGCTCCCTGCAATCTTTCAACAAACATTTGCATATCTTAAATTTCTCCATCTGTTCTTCCATCTTATTTCACCAGGACACACATTAGTTACATATCACTTTTTATCATGTATAGGCATAACCTGTAATTGTTTACCGCATTTTCACTCAAACATAGCTATCTTGGGTTTTAACACATTAATTCCTCACTGCGTCATAAAATCTAACATTCACAGGAATTCATTTGGCTTTGCTGCATAAAAAAAATTCTACTTGGGTTTATATTCCAAATTCATCCACCTCTACTATCACCTCAAATATCCCTTGTAGATTTATCAACATTAACAACCAAAGAAATCGCACACATTCTTGACTTCCATCTTTCCCAGAGTTCATACATGCACAGATTGTATAACTCAAGCTTACTCACTTTGTCACATATTTTCTCTAAATCAGAAAGCTTTCTTACATTCATCCATCTCTGTAACTTGCTGAAGAGTAAAAATCTGATCTGCATATCCTCTGCCTGGCGTAAAAATAGACTGTTGTATTTTCCAAATTATGCAGGTTGTCACCTTTTGCATTTTTTTGACCTGAATTCTGCCAAACATTTCCCATGGTACATGAAATAAATGGTAGTTGTTGCATTGACTCTTAATAACTTTCCTTTGTGTAGGGCAGAGATTTTCAAACTATGAGTTGTGGTCCCCTGGTGACCTAACCCTAACCCCGTGATGGTGAACCTATGGCACGCATGCCAGAGTGGCACACAGAGTCCTCTTTGTTGGCATGCCCACCATCGCCAGGTACTCTTCTGGGTTCCGTTGCACACATGTGCAGCCAGCTGCTCTCTTCCGGGTTCCATCTCGTGCATGTGCATCGGCCAGATGGCCTAACCCATCCACAGGATGCAGGCAGCATGTGAAACCACATCCCCTCCAGTCCACAGAAAAACCTCTCTCCACGGAACTGGTCCCTGGGGCCCAAAAGGTTGGGGGCCACTGCATTGAATGACAGATATTTAATATCTTCCTTAACATCTTTTCCAGCTTAAATTATTGCTATTCTTTTTCATAACATTTCCTTTCCAGACCCCTCACCAATTTGATTATTCATTTACTGTCCTTAAAATGTGGTGGGTTTTCCTCCCTCCTTCTCTCTCTCTCTCTCTCTCTCTCTCTCTCTCTCTCTCTCTCTC